GGCAGTCCCCGGGACCCCGGGGCCAGCGCAACGCCGCTCCCGCCCGCCCGCTCTCACGGGCCGGGGAAAGACGGGGAGACTTTAAGGAGATGGAAAGACGCAAAGCGAAACCCCGACACCGGCGTTTTCCTCAGCCACCTGCCCCGGGACTCTCTCCCTCCTTCGCCTGTCTCACTCGTCCTCCCCGGAGGTTTGGGGGGTGAGCAGGGCAAAGCGCACCCCGGCCCGCTCCTCCCGCCGGCACCGCTCCCGGTGACTCCCCTCCGACACTCCTGCTGGAAGGCAGTGTCCTCTCGGAGCATGTGCCAGGGAGCTCTCCTGTCTCCTCTACCCATCTTATGCCTCCTTCCCCTGCCAAAATCGGGCCAGTTGCACTGCCCGGGCTTTCCTAGAAGGTTTTGCTTCTCCAGTCATTTAGGTGAATTCAAGTCTGAGGGTGGGGGTTTAGTTTTGTTTTTTGGTTTTGGGTTTTGTTTGTTTGGGTTTTTTTTCTTAATGGAGGGGGAAAGGGAAAAAAAAAAAAAAAAAAAGGAAAGAAAAAAAGACTAGGCTGTTACAACAGTACCTGGGGTGACACTGCTAAAAGTTGTGGACTGGGCTCAGCACGATGAGTTTCTTAGGCATGAAAGCTATGGGAATGGATCTACTTTAGCAGACAGATCCTGTTATGTAGGGGCACAACACATCACAACATAGTGCAGTTCTTAACTCTGCTCCAACAAAAAGCCTTAACCCGGAAGGGAGGGGGCTCCTCTTATGGGTCTTTCAGCAGCTGGTGGGATGGATGCTCTGCCCCAGCCACCGGAAAGCATCCATCATGTCAGTGCATCCTGGCACCCAGAAAAGCATTAACTGTACCGGCAAGGTTGAAGTCACCTAAGTCCTAGCTACAAGTTGCACTGTAGAAGTAGGCTCCACAAATGAATCAAGAGAACGCTAATAACAAGCTCAAAAAATGGCAATTACATTCAGCTGAGATTAGAAATCACATTAAGATTGGATCCCTGAAGCTTTGTAGGTGTAGAGTAAAAGTGGAAAAACAGTAGCATGACTGTGGAAGGCGCAAACATTCCCATTGAAATGCATCTGCTCCTCCTATTCTGGGTATTTAACCTAACAGCTGGATTTACCTATTTGTCATCTTATTAATTTTTCTACTCCCATCTCTGTACAACAGGATGAACATAAAACACCACCAACATATAAAAAAAGGAGCTCAAGATTAACAGCAATTTTAAACATACTTTTTCAGAAGCAACCCAAAGCCGTGCAAGAGGTGTTTAAAGCAATCGTCACAGTCATACTAAGGCACCTCTTCCTTGAGCACACACCTGTGTGGCCTCACATATTATACTGATATTCCCAGCTTCAGCTGGGAAGGAGGGGAAGATACAGTGGCACAGCTATACCCGCACACAGGGTTGAGGAGCTGGGAGGGGACACGTCCTAGAGGACCCCCTTGCAGCCCGCAGTAGTCCTATTTTATACAGCCCAGAGTAAGCTGTAGGTCAGTGGTATAAACATGAAAGTTACAGAATATTTCCCCCTAGAACCTCAATCACAGAAAAACCTTTGCTAAACATGATGACTGCAACCCCCTATGAAATACTGTAAGGGATTATCAGCACACCACAGTGCTTTTATTTCTTCACTAGCGATGCCCCGTTCTGACAGCACATGCTAGAATTCCACAGAGCACATATAGGCTTTATATTGTGACACTGTATTTATTCCATCAGTTTATTTTGTTTCATACCCCCTCAAAAAAACCACAAAACCCAAAAAAACCTGCAATAGCAAAGCACAATTTTCAAAGTCCCTGACTGAACTATTGTGCTACGAACAAGATACTGTTTAAAAAAACAAACAAACAAACAAACAAAACCCAAACAAAAATATATTTTAAAAAACCCAACCCTGGAGGCTAGGATAGATAAACAAAGCTATCTTTGACCTGAGGACTGGCCCACACTGCAAATAAATGCATTGCCACTGAGCCCCATATACATGCCACATGAACAGAAATAAAAGGAATCCTTGAGATAGGCCAACGATTTTGTATTTTATATTACTATCACTGTGCACTTATAAATTGCATTGGTTTCAAGATGTTCCTGTGAATTTGTGATAATATGGCCTAATCTTGTAGGCTTCTGTCACTGTTAGTTGTTTCACCCAGAAACTCAAGTCCTGTGCATGTAAAGTGCATGCTCCTTATTAAGAGAAACAAAATGATGATGCCAGAAAGGATTAACAGTTTCAAAAACATCAAGACAAAAGGTTAAAAATGTCTGCAGAGAAATGTTGGGGTACAAAGTTCTTTCAGACTGTCCAATTTTACTTGGAGCTTATAAATATCATGGCACATTGCATGGGTAGTATGGCTGTCTCCTCCCTCCTTTCCTCTTAGGGCACATTTTCTAACCCAAATATGCAGTAAGAACTTCTTGCAACAAAGTTGACTAAGAAGCAAATCACTGTATAAATCTTTCAAAACATGTTTAAATATAGCA